CATAATACATCACAAACAACATTCCATTATAATTCCATTATGATTACATATCTAACTATAGTAACACAATCCAAGATGACTTAACTTTCTTGCAGCAAATAACAGTCTATGATTTTATAAAGCTAAGTACGTAAGCTCTTGAGCTTACAGATACTGATGAAATATCCTTACTTGGTTTCAGTTCAAGAGAGCCAAGGAGAGAAGGTCTACTAAATTTAGACTCTGAGCTGATTTCATCACTAACCTGTCCTCCTGACAGAGGTCTCTGCAGACAGAACAAAGGCAACAGAGGGGACACCACACGAGGATGGGATCAACCAGACTGTCCTCAAAAACGGCCACAAAGAATGCTCTGCTGGGCCCCAGGCCCCTGGACTACAAGTCCTGGGCACGGCTGACAGCCATACCTTTGTGAATCTTATAGCATTACTGTAAAGCCTACACACTCCTGGGGAGCCATCAAGGACCCAGAATTGTAAATGTGACTACAATGACTACAATATGATCAGTGGAATTCAGAAGTTTTTCTGGAAGAATACCAGAAATTTGATCCAAGACAAGGCTTGAAACAATTAGGAGAAGCATAAGTTGAGACTGAATCAAATCCTGATCCTTTTCCTGTCTTTTTTTTTTTTTTTAAAGAAAGTCAGCTAACTTTCTACCTAAAAAAATGGTTTAATTCAAATTACACTTTATTGAAATACTAAAATGCTCAGGAAAATAACTGAGCTGTTAACCAGCACAGTGACAGAGCCAGGCAGTGCCCACCCAACATGGACACTGTGTCACTGTCGCTTGCCCAGCCTGGGGGGCCTGGGGGTGCGGGGCAAGGAGGAAGGCAAGGATGTGGAGACAGAAAGGGTAGTCTGCGCGGCTTGCCAAGGTGTGGGGGAATCACTAGCCAGGTGCTCAGCCGGCCAGGTGCTGGCAGTGATCCAGCAATGGACCCAATGGCTCTGCTGCTTAGATCCAGCCTAAGGAACAGGACTGGGATGCAGAAAAATGGCCATCACAGAAAAAGTGGTTAGGGTAGGGGATGAAGGGTGAAAAGGAAAAGGAAATATTTCTTCTATTCCTCTCACACTCCCCTGTTCCCATTTCTTTTTGTTTTTCCTCTCCATATAACACAGTATCTTTTCTCTCATCTCCCAAACCATCTCAACTTGCTAAAGCTGCTTTTAGGGATTTTTTTTAGCACCTTGCTGTCCAATTTCCCCCTTGAATACCTTGTAAAATATCTAGTAAACTGGTCTGAGCTGGTACTAAAGTAAAAACAAAACATCTCACCCTGCCAAAAGCCCTATAAATTTTATAAACAGTTAAACTAAAATATAAAATATTTAAGAAGAATCAATCTATTATTTTATGTGGTTTAAACCCCCCCTATTCTACCATGGAAAATGTACACATATTACTCATTTTTAAACAGATTTACATGAGCAGTATACTCATGAGCAGTTGTCTTATGGGTAGTATTCACATCCATTGATAGTCCATTCTCCATTTATACAGCCCCAATTTTTTTTTTTTTGCTTGAACTTGCTTTTCACAAGAAATGAAACTGAATGCAAACCAAATACATATATGATTATATGACTCAGATTTAATGTTCAAAAAAATTTTCATAAGGTTATATCCCTGGGATAAAGTAACAGGAGATAAAAGTCACTGTTTCACTGTTTACTGCAATGCATCTCCAAATGTTATACCTTCTCACATCATTCTTCCTTTACAGAGTTGTTAAAATGCTCACATTAAAAAACAAATGAGATGTTTTATATAGAAAATTCTAAAGAAAATGAAACACAAATGTGAAACAGTGTTTCAGTTTTTTATAAACTAAAGAGGAGCTGAATTAGTTTTACTATTAGCTGGAGGGAGGTCTCTTAGCTGGAAATAAAAAAATAAAATAAGACAAAGTACAAACAGAAAAAAAACACACACCAAAGGAGGACTGCCAGAATTAGAGCCCAAGCCTTTAGGAAAGAGAGAAGGAAACAACCATACTGAACAAAAACAAAGAAATTCAGTTTAAACACATGAAGATATTTTGTGTATATTTTCTCATAGCATACTTCTGAAATATAGTTAGACATTTCAATTTAAAAAAAAACCCTACAAGTTGAAGAAAATACATTATTCAAGAAATTTGACTATTTCTAAGCATAATGAGGGTAAATCACTTAGGTCAACAATACTTGGTTTTGTTCTTATTCTAACAGCACTGTCCTAACTGCCTCAAATGTCTTCTAGAACAATGGAAGGTATAAATAAATAAAGTCATAAATAAATAACTAGAAAGATAGGATTTTCCTGCTAAATGCCATTGTTGACAACAAGACAAAAGTCACAAACTAAATTATGAATAAGGAAACTGTGCCAGCTAGGATTTTTGGATAATTTAACTACAGTTTTAGTGGTTTGGGTTTTCTCAAAAATGCACTGCTGGCTCTTGGCAGCGGCACAAAGCCCTAGGGGTGTTTGTTATGATGCAGATTTTGGGCTTCACACCAGGAGATACTGACTTAGAAGGTCAAGGATCTTAAGAATCTGCATTTTCAAGAAGCTCTTCAGGAGGTTAGACATGCATACCATCCAGTTTATACTTTGAAGAAACTATTACCTAAAATAAATAGATTAACATTTTTTCCCCCCAGCGAAAAACATGTTTCAGAGCAGAAAGGTATCTTTGAATCTAAACTGTATTCTTCTGAACTTTTGGTAGCCAGTCATTTATCCCAGTGGAAATTCCCTATTTAGGTAGTTATCAAAACTGTTTCTACAGGTTTCACGAAGCCACACCTGACAGCAGGGTAGCTATGAACGGTTGCAAAATGCACGCCAATGCTTAATTTAAGGTAACCGCACAAATGTGGTTTAAGAATCCTTCACAAATGCCGCTTAAAATTTTGGTGAATATGGCTTAAGAAATATGAAACATCTGCAAAGAAATTATGCATATTTACTCATAAAATTTTATATATCTAAAAAAACCTCTGGTTTGCTTTCATTTGCTAGCAAAAACTCTCCAAGCGTATTGCATAGGAAGCTCCTCATGGATTCTTTTAACATTTAAGAACCATGACTGGGAATTTTCTCTATGACTCTCTTCCTTATCCTCTTCCGCCCCATGTCTCTTTTTCTTGATAATCAACCCCATTCCCCTTATCCACATGTACATACACCCATTTTATGGGAAAGTTTACATTAATTACAATAAAAAGTGGTGTGTGCTATTAACAAAGGGATTGCTAATAACGGAGAAACTTGTTTTTATTTTTTTTGTGGGGGGGGGGAAGCAAATAAAAAATAAAATATTAGAGAGCTCCAGAATGCACAGCAAGAATAGCAAAGTAAAAATCTGATCAAGTGGCAATTTGAAGTTGAGTAAGATACAGCAGGGGTTATTTGACAGTAACTGCTGGAGCCATTTCATTAGGCCAACAATATGCACCTGCTACATCATTGTAGCCTAAGTCAGCTTTCCTCTAGCTTGTCCTGAAGGGCAAGAAACCGGTTCGTTAGCACCCACTTTTGACCTGACAAACCACAGGACTTCATGTTTGAGGCCTGGGCACAGAGAGATGGGTGAGGCAATGCCTACATTCTAGCTAACCTCACTGTCTGCCTGATGGGAAAAATGATCATGAGAGAAGAGGTGTCAACGGCACTGGAATTAGTTCTTTAGTCTCTTCTGATCAAATACAGACCTGCACAGGAAGAATGTATTCACTGGTGGGCACTGCCCTTAGGCACATCTGGGGGTTTTCCAAAATTTCTAAATCGACTGCACTCCTGAAATTTTTTTACACACAGTCCACTGGGAAAGACAGCAAAATAGTCTACAGTACTGCACCAGATGAACCTGATAACTCCTTTGTATCTATTATGTTTCATGGAATTTCAAGTGAATACATTTCAATAATATATTCTATTTTCTAATATCATTTTCACGTCAGAGCCAGAGAGGAAATCTCTTTCCTGTTAGTTCACAAGGAGAAAATACTTGTTTCCATAGAAAGACTTTATTTCTTTAATAAATACACAAATCTATGAGTGAATTACTTTACTAGTGGCATGGTTTTATAACATGCCCCTACTTTATCAGTGAAGTCGAATCTTTTTGTTGTTTAAACAAATATAACTCAATATACATTCCCTACAGACCTACTTAGTATACAAGGCATGATGCTACCGCAGGCGTTCAAAAAAATAAAACTCAAGTACAATCCTGTGCTCAAGGCCTCTTGGTGCCTTCAGGGGAGTAGGTGTTAGAGCTTCTAACACAGTGCAGCAAGAGTTATGCCAGAAGGGCAGGCCCAGTGTTTCAGAACCCTGGACCCCTTCGGAACTCAGGAACCCTTCACAGAGCGAGGGCAACTGAGTCAGACTTTTAAGTGGGAATGGGAGGGATTTTACCATAAATTAAAGCAACAGGAAAGACCTCAGCAAAGAGAGCATGGAAAAAGCTAGGGGATGCAAAAGGGAAGGCGTCTTCAGGGAACAAAGAGTCCTTTGTGGGGCTGAGACACAAGGGAGAGAGATGTGGACAATGAAATTGAGGAGATGGGTTGCAGATAGAACAGAGAGGACTTTATCGACCATGTAAAAGAGTTTGAATTTTATCCTGTGAGAAGGACAACGTGGAGCCCTGAAGGCTTTCAAGGATGAGAGTTGCAAGACCCAATCTGTATTTTAGCAAGACCAGTGTGCTGGCTGACAGGGGATGACAGAGAAGAGGCTGCAAGACCATTAGAGGTATTACAGAGCTCAGGTGAGACTATTCAAATTGTGCATTAAGCTGGCTCTATGCTCTTAGAGGTTCTTGAAGATTTCCCCCACAAACATTCTTTAGTTATCCTGAGTTTCCCCCGTTAGTTATATATTGATACCGACATATATTTTTCCTATCCCAGATATATCATCTGTGGTTCCTAAAATCACATTTCACATGATACACAGTAAACATTTAGGTAAATACTGAAAAGGTAACATCTTACCTGAACAAAGCTGTTCCACTTTTGTGTAGTTTAAAGATACTATATCGTTAACCCATGCAATGATGTCATGTCTGCTCATAGTCTCTTGGGTTATCGAGGTAGAATACACGTTGACCGCCATTCCCCAACTAGAAACAAACAAACAAACAAGTTTATTTGCCTATGAGGAAAAAATTAACTCAGAAACACAGACACCTACTCAAGGTGGAGGTCCCAGGCAGAACTCTAAGGGATGTAAACGTCCTACTTTGGCTAAAGCCTTTCCTTTCTCTTTCGCACTATTCTATACATTTGCTATGATACTAACTTTCATATATTGTTCATACAGCATCATTTTACATCTCCCTCAACTGGATTCAAATGTTCTGCAGTTTCTGAGATTCCTAATTTATTCTTATTGGAGTCTCATCACAAGTCTATGGGTGGTATTAAAAAGGTATGAGGTCTATAACAGTACACACTAGACTAATCTTTTAGCTTTGAACATTATTTCATAGTACTTTCACTACTTACCAACGGCCACCTGCTCATCTAAAAACACTGTCATTCTTGCCTCCTCCCTTTCCTTCACCACCACATCCAGTCCCCCAGCAAATCCTGCTGCCTCTACCTTCAAAGTAGGAGCCACACTCCCACCAACCCTCATCCGGCATTTTGTAATGGCCTCTTCGTGCACTCCCAGCTTGCGCCCTTGCCCCCACCGCCGGGTCTTATCACAACAGGCAGAGTGGCCCTACTGGCATAACCGGATCTTTCTCTCTATAGTTCAAAACCCTCCAATGGCTGCTCATCTAACACAGCAGAATCCAAAGTTCTCGACATGCTTGATAAGGACTTATATATTCTATTCCTGATATCCTCTACTACCCTCTCCCCAACTCCACTCTATGAATGTATCAAACCATATATACACACTGTGTGTGTATGTGTGCTTTTATTTCAGCAATTCTCTGATACATGCGAAAGGAGAGAGAACAGAACAACAAATAAGGTGTGTCTACTTCTTGGCTTCAACACTTACCAATACTTTGCCAATCTCATTTCATTTATACTTCTATAAACATTCCCTGCCCCTACCCCTCCATCCCCCAAGCCAGATTATTTTGAAGTAAATGCCAAGCGTCACATTGTTTGACCTGTATTTCAGCATGTCTCTAAAAGATAAGGACATTTAAAAAACTAAACCATAGTAGTATTATCACACCTAAAAATAAAAACAATTTCTTATCATCAAATATCTGTTATGTCTTATAATTTTGTTTGAATCTGGATTCAAATAAGGTTCATATACTGTGATTCTTTGACATGCACTTTATGTTTCTTCTCCATCTAATATTTCCCTTGCAATTTTCTTTTCTTTCTTTTTTTATTGCTGTGGAAGGAACTGGGTTGGTTGTCTTGTACAGTTTCCACAATTTGGGTTTTGCTCACTGCATCCCATTGGTGTGCAGTGATTTAACATATTCCTCTGTCCCTTGAATTCTTTTTATTCTTTTTACTATTTAAAAAAAATTTAAATATAGTTGGTAATGCAGTATTATGTCAGTTATATTAGTTTTAGGTATACAATACAGAGATTTGACATTTTTATACCTTACAATGTGACCCTGTCCCTTGTATTTTATACACTGCTAATTCGATCTAAAGGCTTGGTCTGATTCAGGTTCTAACTGAGGGAGTAGGGTGGAAAGACCACTCCATGCCGTGTTTGAACTTCTATCATTGACTCGTTCTGTGATTTGTTAGCCACTGGTGGCATTTGCCTAGACCCAACAATTCTCTAGAGACTTCAACGTGTTATTTTATTAATTATTCTTGATTTATTATTAAGAGAAATTTCCCCCCGAGGTACCAATCATATAAGGCAGATAAGATGCCTGACTCTTTCCTTTTATTTACCAGTTTTCAAAATAAAGAGGTAGTTCCCTTATATTTTCCAAACATTACAAATGGGGTTTTATTTTTGAAGTGTAATTATAAACTCATGGATTTAAACATATTTGATATGCTTCAGTCCACTGCAGTTTATGTCTTTATTGATATAAGCTTGCAGAGGGCTTACTCAGGATGGCTTCTGAGTTCTTTTGGCAAGGTCCTGGAAGCTTTCGATAACTTCTGTGCTTTCTGGTATGACAAAGTATTCCAGGCTCAACTTGTACATTTCCTGCCTTAGACCTAAAACCAGTCACTTCTCTAAAGGCTCATTATTCCTTTTTGTGGCAAATGTTATTTAGAGATAATATTTTTAAGCATGACTACATATGACAGAAAAATCTATACAGCTTTATGGGTTTACATATTTATGAAACAGTTGTGTTTGGAGTTCTAATTAACTCTAAAGAAAGCAATAAAAATCTGCTTTTTACTTAAAGTGCTAAATGAAGACTTAATTTATAAATAAACAGAAAAATAAATAAATATCTACCCATCCATTCATCCATCCATCCTTAAAAGCTCCCTCATCTCTAAATGCTTTTCCCCTGAAGATCTGGAAATACTCACAGCCCTGCCCCTCAGATAATGCAACCATAACTACTGCTTCCCTACATTATCAAAGGCTGTTTATTTGTTGGTTAGTAAACTTCCACTGTTTTCTTCAGTCTAACATTGACTAAACAAAGCCACTGACTTTTACTACCCATTCAAATTTGTAATGAACTGTGTAAATTATAAAACCTTAAATAATTCAAAATTTAAAATATTTGGGACATTTGATGTAACTGTAATACACTGGCATAAGCTTTGGCAGTGGATATCCTTTTCTAATGGGTTCTTCAGTCAGTGCTGAAACGCGTTTGCATTACCAGGGGACTCACTGATGGAGGAGGAGGCCCTGAGGCCCAGAATTGTGCTAGATGGCAACAAACCGAACTGGGCTGGAATTTTTTGCTTCGGGTGAGTAAAAACAAAACCTTACACAATGCAGGAGAGAGACAACCTGATCTGTGTTTTAGAATGTTAAGGCATCTACCAGTGAGAAAAACTGTTCTCTGGTTACCTAACAGAGAGATGTACGAAAAGGACAGGTAGAAGAGTTAGGCTATCTTTTAAAAAATCCGTTAGAACAAGGAAGCAAGTCATTTGCTGCAGGTTCTGTCCATGAATCACATTCTTCTCAAGGTATTCACTGATAGTGTTCACTTAAGGACAACAATCCTTCCATATCTAAATAGATTTTCAGTTCACAAAGACAAGTAAAGAAAGCACTATCTGCCTTCAAGGGGGTTGTTAAGATGGACAATGAAATAACATCTGATTTTTGCTTTAGAAAAACCCCAGTAAGTTTTTACTGCATAATAGTTACTGGGCTCACCGCTCTAGCCTCTGGTGTCCCCCTCTGACCAGCACAGCTGCAGCCCTCGGACCTGCAGGAAGGGCAACCGTGTCCTAACAGGCCAGCGGCAAGACAAGGATAGAGGACGGACCAAGAGTAAGGGTGAAACAGGAATATTTTCTAAAATAAAACAACACATTAAATAGATTTTCATAACTACTTCCAATTAATAGCAATGGAATCAAGATAGTTAATTTCTAATTACCATCTATGTTGATTAGAATATCCTTATAATCTATCTTCCTCCTCCAAGCTTTGCCAATATACTTCTAAAGTCACTTCACTTTGCACTTGTCTCCTGCACCCTCTGTTAGTTCCCGGTCCAAATGGGTAATGCCTTTGGATTCTGCGTGAGACTTCTGGGTCCAGATTCCCTCTCCGCAGAAGAGGAAGTGCTCTTCCTCACCTCCAGGAAGCCAGGTGAGCCAGAGTGGAAAAAGAATTCCATTTCTGCTCTGCCACCCAATCTTTTCTCAGTTCCTCCAGCTCCCCCTTTTTCTACAGGTGTGACTCCAATACATTCAAACCTAAGTTTTCCAGGTGACTAAACAGTTCACAGAAGAAAATCTGTATCTACCTAATAATAATAAACTCAGGGCTGATGACAAGAGTACTTAATGATCTTAGCTCTTCTGTGGACACCCTCCAAAATCCCAACGTTTCGCATTATAATTTATTGGGTGCCAATCTATCTTAGAGCATAAGGGTGTAAATGCCTCCCCCTCTTTATTCTTCAGAAATATTGTGTGATAAATAGCAAGGAGTTTCTCTATCGCTTTACAACTAAAGTGATTCCGTGCTCCCATTTTGAGCCTTGAAGGAATCCTGTGAGGGAAGCAGGGAAGGAATTACATTCCTTCCTGACAAATGTGGATTGCTAGTGCTATGGAAGGTAAGAATCAAAATGATTTAAAATATCAAATTTTTAATTGAGTAATTTACAAAAATTCAGTTAAGAAAAATTAACATTTAAGAAAAGATAAAGTAATATCAAATGTTACAGAATAAAGAGCCAATGTAGCATGCAGGGTTTGTTCTCTCATTTGGGTCTTCTGCATATTTTTTACACAAAAACAACAGTTTATTCTTAGGTGAACTTGCCATCTGGTCTCTGTGACATTAGCATTTCTCTCTGTGCCATTCTTCCAAAAAAAGTCAAAGCACTGTCCTACAATTTGAGGCTTTCAGTCAGATTCTTAACCAGATCACTACAAGTTCAAAACCTTGTAAGTACAGTAGTATTGACAGTAATAGATAAGGAAGGGACTATTTCCTAGCATTATAGTCTATGGGTCACTATAGTTTGAAATGGCATTTAAATTTTATTTTTAAATGAGTTTGTATCCATTGCTCCTACTTGAAAATAAAACAATAATCACAGTATATTTACACACTGGTTTTGTGAATGTTTGAATGCCTCTCTGAAAAGCTGGCAACATACATATTTTTTGTGAACATAAGAACCAAAAGACCTTCATACCTCCGCAGGCAAAGTCACTGTTTAGGCATGTCTGTGGATAGTGACCATTGACCCATGTGACTTCAGAAAAAGAACAACCTCAGCCTGAGGGCCAGTGTGTTGAATTTGCCCTGTCCTCAGCATCTGCTGGTGGTGGTGGTGAGGCTAGAGGTATGGCAAGTTTATGCTTTGCAGCAGTTACTCAGCCATGCCGCTGTTGGCCTACTGCAAGAAAAGGAACTTCATGTGGCTAAGTGAGACCTGAGTTAACCTACTGAGCAAAGCCCAGATAAAGACTTGGCAAGCCCCAAACCGTGGAAACCAAACTACGAATT